TATTACCATGGTAAAAAGGGAGTTACGACTATTGGTTGTATAATAAGCCGAGACTAGAAAAATATCTCTGAAATTAAGGAATATTAAATTAGTAGCCATTAAATAATCTTCAATATCAGGCAACAGCTTCATGAGAATATAAATACATTCTATAATATATAGCCATATAGTAGGCTTAAAACATATGTTGAAAAAGATGGCACAAAATAAAGCGTTTATACAAAACAAACGGCACACACAGACATAGTATATAACCCCCATAAAACATATAAAATGAAATATATATACTTAAATTTGAATTATAGTTAAATACTTTATTGTCTAATTACGTTTCAATATATTAAACAATAATAATTGATTTGTTATTCATTTTCTTGTTTTAGTATAATATTGGTGTTAAAAAAATTAATGTATCATTAAATTGTCCTAAAACACAAACATATGCTATTATAAAAAGTAGGTATACATATTACAACTTAATCATGATAATGAAATACTCATTACAACCTTAGACAAAATGCTCATTAATCAACATTTATTTCATTGTATTAACATACCAATCACTACCTGAAGAATAAAACTAATATTTATTTTTGAGCACAAAAATTTTTGAAAAAAGTAGGTTCCTATTTGACATAAAACTGTTTTGTATGTCATTTAATGCAATTGTTAAATTTATAACTATTTAATTTATTAATTTATTAACTCACTTTTAGCAGCATTTAGCAAATCTTTTAATTCCTTTATTAAACGTTTGATTTGTTGATTGGTTTTCTGCAATTCTCTTTCATGATCATGCAGTTTTTGACGAAAATACGGGCTGTCTGTGATACAGTCGGAAAATTCAAGAGGCTGTAATCCAATCACCATTTTTGTCGATAAAAATCATCCTGAAATAAATAAAAGAAATTCAATTAATATGTTTGTATAGAAAACAAACAAAAAAATTAATAATAATAATATTATTGTTTATGTTTAGCAACTTACCAGGTGTAAAAAGGTATAAAATTAAATAAACAATATTAGGAACTCAAAAACGAAAATTATTCAATTTTTATTAATTTTTAAATACAAACGAAAAAAAATGCTTAGGAAACTAGCAATGCAAACAACTTCTGAGCGTTATCGTGTCCAAATAAGAATTAAAAACAAGAGACTGATAACCTATTAACCTAAAATGCATATTAATGTTGGTCCAATGGTATCAACGGTTATGTTATTGTGGTTAATAAGTGATAAAAGCACACGGATACCAATGCTGCAGAATATATTAAATTAATAAATTTTATCTGATACAGTCATATATATATATATATGCTTATACCACAGAATATCTGAAATTTCTTAATTTATAGGCTTATACAGTTATACTAAATAATGGCGTTTTCCATCTGACCAAATCTGACTGCACTAGACGTGCACACTGGTCTAGTATACACGTTCGGTCGACACCGTGAATTTTGGCTGTGTGGAAAATTGCATGATACTGTCGTGATTGGGACAGCAACCTGCTCTGCCTGCAGCCTGCTGTCCACAGTCTGTAGTTATTCGATTAATTTAATATCAGATAACGCTTAACAGATATTTATTTTTTAAATAATATAGTATTATTAGTATTATCTATGTTTATTCCACTGTCCACGATACCAATGATACTATCTTAATCCGTCATAATATTGTACACATCATAATTTGACAATTTTGAAAAATTTCAATAAATTCATATTTTTATTTTCGTGATTATGATTTACCCGAARACATAACTTTAAGTGTATTGCATATCTATTAGTTTCTTATAAATATATAAAAAGTATGTTCTTGGAAAATATAATACTGATATTTCTTACTTTTCCTAATTAACAAAGCAATACTGATTTCAGCTATGGATTTTCGTACATTAGAAAATGAAAATCTTCCACCTTTGTCAAGTACCCCTACCGAAGTATTATTGCCGAAGTACCCAATCTGGACTGTTGAGTATTTTCAAAAGTACTTTGATGTCACTTCAGAAGATGTACTTGAACGTATTAAAGGAGCATTGGTCCCTACTTACGGAGTCAACTACTTACAACGTTACATCAGAGCAAAACCAGATGTGTATGGTCCGTTTTGGATATGTTTAACTCTAGTGTTTTCTATAGCCATCAGTGGAAATGTTGCAAATTACATACAAGTAGCTGCTGATCATGACTACCACTGGAAGTATAATTTCCATGCTGTGTCTTCGGCAGCCACAGCAATATTTTTATATGCTTGGTTATTACCTCTAATGCTATGGGCCTTTGTTAAGTACAAAGAGCCACAGGTAAGGATGTCAATCATGTTTAGTAAATTAAACTGTTTGCTTAATCTTCTGAAAGCATAATGCTTTAACATAACAAGATGAAAAAATCATAAAACTATACAAAATAAGTTATAATTTATTTTTATGTTCAAAATGCATGTTACCTGTATAACTGTGCTTATAATTAATGTTGTTAACTGTCTAATAAATATAAATGTATTTGTTTGTTTGTATAGTTTAATCTTAGCTACTTGGAACTGCTGTGTTTGTACGGATACTCGTTATCAATATTTGTGCCGATTTCAATTCTATGGGTAATCCAAATCAATTGGTTGCAGTGGCTTTTGGTCGCAGCTGGCACACTGGTGTCAGGTTATGTAATTGTATTTTCAATCATGCCTTCATTAGGACAGAAACCATTTGCGTTTATATTCTTAATAACTATTTTACATTTGTTTATGGGAACAGGGTTTATGCTATATTTTTTTCATGTCCCACCAATACTGAAGTCTTAAAAACAAAACTCATCATACTTTTATGTTCATGTACAATATAATGATAATAATAATAATAATAATAATAATAATTATGTATAAATATTTAAAATATTCATATAATATATAAATGATAAATTGAAATACATATTATAAAAAGTATATGTCCATTTCAAAATGGAACGACTAAATCACCCTTGTGTTCCACACTCATTAAAGATAAACGTTTTTGTATATCGTTCACACAAACCATTATGTGACGATAGTTTTCTGGTAGTCCTATATTTCTTGATAATACTTTCTCTGGACCAGGAAYATCTTTCAGAAGGCACACAGGCATTTGTCTCAAACTAACAATAGTATTAGCAACAGATGAAAGGGGTACAATTTGCAGTTTGGCACTATAAAGGTTTTGACGTTCTATAACCTCTTGTTGGTCAATACAATTGTGCAATTGGCCAACATCAATAACATTTCTAAAAAAAAATAATAATAAAAGTTACAGATAAATAATGATATACTATAATGGTAATAATCAAAATAAATTATGATTTYAGTTAACTTTGGTTAGCATTTGTCAACTTAATTTTAAGTATTTTTTGTATGCATTATCATTGAGAGTACTTAATAATGTGACACTATTCCGGCAACTCAGCATCTATTTATCCAACAGACAACTTAAAAAAAAATGACAGTKGATCTTAGATTAAATAAATTGGTCTTATACCACTTTTAGTATTTATTCAAAAACAAACACCCTAGTCCATGATTTTATGACAGTATGGATTTAAATTTAAAATCAAGTAGGTATAGAAATGTTGTGAATAGTTATTTTTAATGTTTATTGTAATAAATTGAAAAACATAAGTAATATAGGTAATCATCTTTCAGTTTGATAGTTTGTGATTATACTTTATATCTCATWTGAAGGATGGATACACGGAAATCTTGTWTAATATTGTTTGTGGAAAGACTGTAGTATCTACTTATCATTATAAAATAACATTTTAAACACAAGCAAAGATAATATTGTAAGAATAATGGTATAAGATGGTATATTTGTTCTATATAAATTAAAAACTCACGATGATATTTCTTCTAGTATACGATTTAATCCAGCCTGCTCTTCAGATTCTTTGGGTAGTKATCCATAATGATAGTCCTCAGGTATACCACCACGTTGAACGCTTGTATTGTTGCAGTCTGGATCGATCAGCAAATGAGTTCGTTCTTGATCGACAGCCTATGTAAATTAATAATAAAAAGCCAAATTCTTATAGATTTTTGCAGAGCAAAATTAACAATTCATTTAAAAGCTTACGGCGTACGCATCTTCTTCCTTGCACCAACTACAGCACGCTCCCATGGCAAATGGGTGTAAGCACGAGTTCCAGGAATAAAAAGAAATGGACCGTTATGCTTTAGAACCCAACAACAATCGTATCAGACATAGTAATTGTACAACCACCACACAATCAGATCCCAGTAATGGAGCAAAACAACTAGAATTATACGGCAAACATAATCATAATACTATTGCAACTACACTGGAAAGTTACGATTATATTATTTACAAAGGCGGTTATGGTTTACGATCGCGAGACATTAAAATAATTCGATTATTGAAATAATGAAATTGATAATCAAAGTTATACATTGGGTTAAAAATTATGACTACGGTTGATAAGAAAATATAATAACTGATAAGATACTTCGTGTCACAACAATCTAGGAATATGGACAAACTTTTGTACGWAACTACGAAATTCAAATTTCAATTTATTCATTATTGTTCGAAGATAAAACAATTCTAAACGTCAACGTTTGTAATTTTTTTACTTAATCGATGGAAAGTTTTAAGTCACGTCAAATACATACCCAAGTTTGTATATTAATTGAAGAGTGAAATGTTAAGTGGTTGTGCGATTTGACATTCTTAAAAAAACGTAACCATGCTCATTTAATTATGATATCGTTTGCATGTTGGAAATAAGACGAAGATATTATGTATACACTGTTCCATGGGCTCTACAAATATTTGACTCAGAAAGATGAGTTTTGGGTTCTCATACTTGGTCTGGACAACGCTGGTAAAACGGTAACAAACAATCTGGTTGTCATCTCTGGCACATATTGTTGACTCCCTTCAGATTCATTACCACAGGTAATGTTCTTTTTTCAGACGTATTTGGAATGTTCAAAGACAAAGTTCAAGAAAAACTACAAGGGTATCAATCCTGGTAAAATTACAACGACTGTTGGCTTGAACATTGGCAACATTGACATAAACAGAGTCAGCTTGAACTTTTGGGATTTGGGCGGTCAGACAGAACTACAGTCGCTTTGGGATAAAGTATGTGTTTGAGTTTATTGTAGAATATTATATTATTAATTACTATCATATTATGACTTGTGCCTTTTTCCTTGTTAATTCTCATCATAGAAAATAGATTTACATTGGTTGACATGTATGTAATTAACTGTATCTATTTTAATATTTATTTTTAGTATTATGCCGAATGYCATGCTATTATATATATTGTGGATTCATCTGATCGAGAGCGCATGGATGAATCAAAGAAAACATTTGGTATGCATTTGAAATATATTGATCATTAATTATGTATCTATTTAAGTTAGATAGTTGATAGTTTAATTTTTTAATAATTTTTGGAACATTTTATTTGCAGTTATTTATTTTTGTTTTCATTTTTATAGTAAAAATCCATAAATCACATATAAAATAAATTTTTATAAATATAAATATATAATATATTGTCATCATTCCAAASCATAAACTATGTTTCATATTTTTATAATATTTWKAATAAGTTACAAATGTTAAATTAATTTTATTACATTTCAATAGAAAGAATGATATGCAACGAAAACTTGGGTGGCATACCACTTTTAATATTAGCTAACAAACAAGACATTCCTGACTGTATGGGCGTTCGAGAAGTAAAACCAATTTTCAATCAGAATGCTCATTTGATTGGGAGAAGAGATTTTATGGTTATGCCAATATCTGCGTTGACTGGGTATTTAATCATTCATTTTTTAATTGACTTAAATTTAGAGTTTACATTTAGAGTTTGTATTTTTTAAATAAGTTTACTTAATGATATAATGTGTTGTAGTGATGGAATTGATGAAGGAATTCAATGGCTAGTTCAATCAATTCAAAGAAATATAGAAGTGCGTCCTCCAAAAAATGCTGATGATTATTGAAGTTGTGAAATTTCAAACTATAAATATTAAGTTATTGAATAAATTACTTTTTTCATAAAATAAAATGTTGATAAATGATTTTGAATTTATTTTATACCTATTCAACAATAGTGCTTTGTACCTGTATTGTTATGCGTTTGATAATATTTTAATTTGTTTTGTAGACGAAAAATTATTATTTTCTTTTTTTTTTAAAKCGGTGGATCATTATTAGATGTAAAAGATTTTCCATTTCAAAATTTGTAAAATAAAAGGAATATTGTTATTAAACTGTTAAAACCTATTTTACAAATGAATATTATAATGAATGTCCATTTAACTTGTTTAATTTCATATCTAAGACATTTTATATAATATTATAGTAAATTATAAACAAAAAAAAAAACACTATTATTGATTTCTCAAATTGTAATTATTTTTTTATATATAAATAAAAATAATAATCGCTCAATAACTTATTTTTAATTGGTTATTACTTATTACTAGGGCTCAGATTTTAAAGGAAATGCTTCTTTTTATATATTCAAGATAGAAATCTAATTTTTATACATAAATTCGTTTCACGTCAATCTGATTCTAAATAAAAGAATTTATTTTGGCTTTTTTTAGTTATTCTAACTGTGAAATTTTTATATGCCTATTATGATATAACAATAAAAAAAAAAAATAAAAAAAATGTTTATTTGGGTACTTAATAAGAAATGTGAAAACCAGCAATAATGACCGTTACCGTACCATTAGTGCGAAACATCCTTAAACGTATAGATTATCGATCTACAGATAGATTATGGGTCGATAGCTTATGGGCTATTGCATATAGTCTGTAGAAACTTACTATGTTCAGTACTCGTATAACATCAATATCGACATATTCAAAATTTAACTTTTATAATGTTGTAATTTATTAAAATATCAAAAGTCAAAACAAATGCTTTTTTTTTAAACTAGTGTTAGAATTTGGTGAAGAATTTCTTCAAACAGGTGGATCGATTTTATATTGCAAACTTTGTGAAACAAAAGTGTCCCATGAAAAAAAATATAATATACAACAGCATGTGCGGAGAGAAAAACATGTTCAAGCTGTTAAAAGACACGAAAATGAGAAGTCTACATTACATTACTTCAATCATATTTACAACAGTTTAGTAGTCAGTCAGATTTTAATGCCGATTTATGTTCAACATTGATAACTGCTAATATTCCAATGAATAAACTAAATAATAAACATTTTCACGAATTTTTAACAAAATATTGCAAAAAAACTAGATTCCTATTCCTGACGAATGGACATTACGTAAAGGGTATTTTAATTCATGCTATGGAAATACATTGGCAAAAATTCGTGATACAATAACAGATCAAAACATATGGGTATCTATYGATGAGACTACGGACWCTATGAAATGTGGGCACATTACAACCACAAAATCCAAGTACCTAATATGTTCATTATTCACACAGAATACTTGAAGAAAGTGATTAGGGAATCATAGTACAAAATTCCAACTATTCGATAAAGCTATATGCTTTTTTTGTGGGGAAATGGTGTAGTACATATAACGATGTTTTGCTATTTGTCTTAGATGCGTCACCTTATATGAAAAAATCTGGTGATTGTATAAAAGCGCTTTACCAAAAACTCATACATAATATTATAATATGTGACTTGTTTGGCACACTACCAAGATGTAGATCAGTTGATTGGAGGAATGAAAAAAATGTTTTTAAAATGTCCCAAACGTACAGCAATCTTTAATAAGAAATGCCCAGAATTGCCAAATCCACCAAGACCAATAACGACCAGATGTATTTCTTCAATCAAAAATTATGTATATTTCAACAAACTTTGAATTTCTACCAGATATTATAACAAAACTAGAGGGAAAGGTAACTTTTAACAAAATATTTAAACAATTTAACATCATAATTCATAATACTATATTATATGTATAATTTTAGGTGAATCGTTGACAACATGTATGAATATTGTCTTAGAYGCAAAAAAAAAGTTAAATGAWGCTAATGGAGATATTGCAACTGCTATTTCGGGTAAGCTAAATCGTGTTATTTTGAAAAACAAAAGCTGGAAACAATTACTGGACATTAACACTATACTGTGTGTCTGTGTGACGTTTCATCAGATGAAATTAATTATCATGGGCGATGGGTTTGATTTAAACAAAACCTCTTGCATGAAGTATGCACCAATCACTTTAGTGGATGTTGAGCGTTCGATTTTTATGTATAAAAACATCCTGTCAGACATTCACTTCTGAAAATCTTGCCAAATACATGGTAGTAAATTCTTTTTTCAATTTAAATTAATTTTTCAATTTTTATATTCAGTTTTATAAAATTATAACTAATTCATGTTAATTTTTAGTCGTGCTTTTTTTTTGCTTTTTTAAAAAATAAATATGCTTTGATTTTGCTTTTGCTTTTTTAAAACAATTTTTTGCTTTTTTGTTATTTATTAATTATTATGCTTTAAAATCCGAGCCCTAGTTAATTATTACTATTACGTCGAAAATTTTTTTATTTGTTTCAAATGCGGTCAAACGGTCAAAGTTAAATTATTTAACATTGAAAAGGTTTGCAATAATAAATTATYTATTGTTTTTTTAATATTATTAAAATATATGTGTTAATCATAATTTCAATGTCATGATGAAGAGATTTTAGAGAGACCGTGGCAAGATTACAAGAGTGGTTGTGGTGGATGCGTGGGTTGTTTGASTAACCTGRCCATCGTAATTATTAACATAAGGATCAGTGGGTCTATATAGTATATAGGTCTATTTTAACGGCTTARAGATATTATTCGTGCGCATGATCTTATATGAATGTAATTTAGTATTTTGTACAGCCTATGAAATTGAGATCTACGAAACTTTGGCCATGCGGATATTTATTGTACTAAATTTTTACATTTACAATATYCGTACGTATAACGTAATGTATGATTATGAGTCATAAATAATAGCCATGGCCCATGATACATCGCACTCGACGCACTCCCTCAGGTTAGAGGTTAGACTCGTTCAGACGCGTTACCGGCATAARCCTTGTTCGCCTAGCCAATACCGTCTCAGCATGTTGTGGCTAGGAGGAGTAATGTGTTGACACCTGATTGCAGGACCTCCAAAAAGGGAAGGGGGCTTGAACTTTTCTACATATATTGTAACAGTCACCCCCTCCCCCCTCAATCCACAACCGAAATTATTTTCTTTTTATTATACACACTACCTACATATAGGTAGGTACATAACTCTTATAAGCAATGTTAAAAATGATATCATCTATTCATATTCAAATTAGAATACGGCAATTTAAAATGTTTTAAATAAACGTACCTATATAAATACACGAAATGACCATTAACCGCAACAGCTCAAAACACATTAGAAACTATGATTAATAATAATGATTGACACGACTGTATATTAAATGAAGTTGACTATTTCCTGCATCAATTATCATCATTGTCGATGATATAATAATAACATGATTGACATTTGACTGCTTTTTACACGGGAATCGCACATCTATAATATATATATATATATATATATATATATACGTTAGTTCTGCCTTGGGTGAGAATACGCTTTCTACCATAATAACTGTTGTGATTATTTCTATAAAAGAAATGTTGAAATACATTATGAATATTATGACAGAGATAAAGAAAATATAATATATTATATTAATTAAATCTAAACTAAATAGGTAAGTAGGTATACTTAATTTATTGTAGTTATTTCTGAATATTGCATCACAACGACTCCGAGAAAATGATTGATACTTTATAATTTTGCAATGAATTTAAAAGTTCACAACTACTGTGTATACTATATGTAATATGTCTATATTGTTGGTAAATTTTTGAATTTTTCGTCAYTAGAATTTAACTGTACTTTATAAACCGACATGGAAGATATTACACGAACTCGATAAATATTCTGCGTCTCTGTGACATCTATAATATGGTTATACCATACAAATATTCAGATATAGATATATGTATACGATTTTCTTATATTGTTATAATTCAAAAATGAATAATCATAGATGCATGCAATTTACACATACCGTTGATTTTATCATTTTCTATATTTGATAGCATTTTCAAAATATTTTTACTTGTGTACTGGCATTTTTTTTTTTTAAATTTAATGTTCAATTCATTTCAACAACAAAGGTTATTATAATAATAAGTAGCGTATAATAGAAGTATTATTTTCTTTTTAATTATAATTTCTATTTTTTTAAATGTTAAATATATACAACTATATTAGTTTATTATATACATAGTTCTAAATGTTTTTGTGTCCACAAAAAGTACCTATTATCGACATCAACGCTATTATTAACAGCAGCGTGAGTGGATTTAAATTCAACACGGATTTGATCGTCTGGCTTTTGTAGTCTTGTAGATCGGACTATCGGAGCAGAATCTACTTTTATGTAAAACACTAAACACAATGCGGTGTTCATACAACAATAACAAAAACAATAGTTATTATTATTTTAGAATCTGAGCCCAGAAATTTTATAATGTATTGATTTTAYTATGATATTGTGCGGGTGGTTTTTAGATTCTTTAAATTTTTATTTTTTCTGTTATCACGTTTTGGGACTGAAAAAAAATTAACCACACCAATAAATTCATATACACTGGTACTATTACATGTCCAAAAATTAAAATCGGCAAAATCTATCATATTATATTTTATTGAGATTTGGACGATTTGTTGCGTTACAAAAAAACTGTTTAGTGTTCTTTATGAGTCCCATGTGAACACGATCTTGCTCAGTGGGGCCATTATTCTGTTGAATTAAATAAAATCGCACTTTTTAATATGAAAAATAAAAACAAAATGTTACTGTATGTAAACAAAATATGTTATATTGCAAAAGCCAAAATGTAATGAACAATATTGTGAATATATAACAAACGAGTGTTTTATAATTTTGAATAAATTATGCCGAAAAAATGAAATATAATACAATGCAAGATGAAAAAAAAACAATAAATAACAATTTTAACAAAAGAAAACCAAAAAAAGGCATCAGAAAAGACGAGGTGATGTGGGTGGTACGTATAATAATGGCGATTGGACGATGCTATTGTAATTATACTGCCATACTGGTCAGCTTATACAACGTTATGCGGCCAGTCCTGTGAGACGTATACGAGAATCGCGGGTGCGTTTGACCGGGACGCAAAGACGACATGGCAGTGAACGAAGCCCGACCATCACGACGGCTGCGAGACGAACGACGATTTGGCGACGAGCGGCTAGTGCGCGATGTTGTCCGCGATACGATACTGCAGCAGGTGAGGCTGA